ATGTTGGGAAAGTGTGAGAGCAAGAGGAGAAGGGGATGACAGAGGATGAGATGTTTGGACAGTGTCATCGAAGCTTCCAAAATGAATTTGACCAAACTCTGGGAGGCAGTGGAAGACAGGAGGGCCTGGCATGCTCTGGTCCATGGGGTCATAAAGAGTCGGACACGACTTAACTAAACAACAAAAGGCATGACCTATGCTTGCGTTAGTATCTTATAGGATCCCGTTTCCCACCTGGCTGCTCCCATGAAGCCTGTATCCAAAAGGAACATCTGTGGTTTGCCAGCATCTTCTGGTACTATTCACAGAGGCTCCTTTCATACTTAGCAAAGGAATTACGGCCTTTTGACGAAGTGTCTTTGTAGTTCAAGATCCTGCTCCTTGCTGCATCTATCCAGTTGCATCTGGGAGCTCCACAAGTAAAATCACAGGGAGATAACCTTTTTGAAAGCCTGTTTTGTGTCTTCTGAACATTTTTTCTTCTGCCCAAGGGGCTTCGAGCCAGAATAATTACAATGGACTTTTCCCTATGTGGTTAGTTCTGTTCTCCAAAAGGATGGAGGGGGCAGGGCTGTGAATGGTATTCTGGTGAAGTAATAAACTGGGTGTGATGTTTTAACATTCTCCCCAGCAATCATTCTCCCTACTCCCCCCAAAGTATTTTTTTTTTAAACAAACTGCTGAGTTTAGCACTGGATTGCCTTATCTCTGCAGTGATAAATCCAAAGCTAGATCATCTCTGCACTGACAAAAAAAAGGGGAGAGAGAGAAATATCAATATGAAATAAAACAACTCTGATAAAATTACAGTGGACTGTTTCCATGATATGTATGTGTTTGTATGTTATGAAGAACTTTGAAAAAAATGTCCCTTTTCCCTTGTCCCCAAAACACATTAAACAGCTCACAGACTTCGTAATGGCCTATAAATGGAGAGTGGAATCAAAGGAAGGGGAAATGTGGCATGTATCAAACCACACCATATTGATGAGCCACCATGAACAGTGGCACCAAAACAATCCAGTCTCTGTGTAATCTCCTAATCCAAGCAGAAGCAAAACTGAATTGCTCCAATTTAGCTTGCCGATGTAGTTGCAGCCTAAGATGACATTAAAGTTTTCAAAGTCATCCAGGTAACGAACAGTTTCAAAAGGAAGGTGGCCATCTCAAGGCACATGAAAAGTGCACACACTTCTAAACAATTTCATCCAAGTTTGATGCAAAGATGACATGAGGGAAGAAACCCGAGCCTTGCCTCCTTCAGCTGGACCAAAGCTTCCCTGTGCCACCCTGGCCTTCTGCTCATCAGATGACACTGAGCATCCCACCCGTTTCTACTTTGAATACAATGATTTCTGTGTAATTTCAGAAGCTAAGGTAAGCAGGGTCAGGCCTGGATAATACTTGGTTGGGAAACCACTAGGAAATACCAAGGTGCTCCAGGCAGAGCTGGAAAAAGAATCCTGGTGGAAAACTAATGTCTCTTGGGCTAGTTGGCCTTGGTGTAAGACAACTTCTTATGTTCCTGTTGTTAATAAGCAGTCCAGAAATTTGGCCCGACAGCTGATACTAAAAGCTGCTCAATGCTCTGAGAGAAGCAACAGGATTGCTTTTGCACTATGTTTTGTCTCCTGCAGGTCATCACAACAAGCAACAGTATTTCCGTTCTAAAGTCAGCCAGAAGCCAGACTGAAATCGATCCAGATTAAAACATGCCCACCAGGAAACATCTGGAGCTTGATTCGGCATCATCCTATATTCCATGCCCATTTAGCGATCAGCATTGTTGATAGATGCGTACACCCTGAATTTATAAACTTGTTTTAAGAAAATCAGGAGAGCACTGTTGGATGACTTGCCAAAGGTCATACTTGACTACCATTTTGTTTCCAGAGCATGCATCAGCCAGATACTTTCAGCAAGTATACAGAGCATGAAGACAAATTTCCCCCTATTACATGGAATCCCAATTCACTCAAAATTCAGAGGTATTATTCACACTCTCTCTGAACATGGAGACTCACTTGGCACCCAAGTAGGGACTGAGTTATCCCTGAATTTGTTTAATCTCTTTGGTTTTGAATAACCAAACTATCCAACTGTGATCTTGAGCACTGCAGGTTCCTCTCACAAGGGCACACTTCTGTGAGTTCATCTCCCAGGGCTTCTGTGATAATTTAAAAAGCCAACTAATATACAAATGAGACTAATTCCATGGTTCTTTCTTAGAGACTTGGCGTTCGGTGCCGATGATTTCATGGGAAAGACCACATTTGGCATTGCCTTTTCTCTTACCATCTCCTTAAACTGATACAGGGTAAAATCTGGTAACATGTTGCAACTAGAGTAGGCGCAATGAATCAGTGGGCATTTGGTGAATCAATGCCTATGTACGTTTAGCCAAATCCAATGTACATGTTCTAGTTGCAACTTGCTATTGCATTTCAGCAACTAGGCAAGATATAGGTAAAACACTTCCTCATGTAAATAAGCCATGTAACCCACCCCCACCCCATTCTGTTTGAGTCTTGTGTTCATGTACAGAATTCTTAAAGTGTCCTAGAAGACAACCCTACAGATTGGCTGGATGGTGTTGGGGAAGGCATGGGGGGGGGAAACGCTCCTTCTCAGCAGATGTGCAAGCTATATTCACTCTTATGCTCTCCCCTTCTCTTATTTTGATGGCTAGAAAAACAAGACAGCAAGGCTTCCATTTTCCATCACCTAATTTTTCCTTAGAACATCTTTTGACCAGCAAGGGGCACAGAATATTGTGGAAAAGCAATGATACTAAAAGTTAACTGTTCAACATCATGGCAGGGAAGGGCGTTTGAAAGAAATTTTAAACACTGGGAAGTTGCATACCTAGGCCACAGGGTATGTGAAGGATATAGTGGTGCCTCTATATGCAGCATTACCCACACATAAATTATTGCATCCAGCTAGATGTCACATCTGGACATTGTCTGGGTCTTAAATGATGCAGGGGGACAATGGAAAAACAACTGCCAAGAGTGCCTTAATTAGGCTGATTTTTCAGTGTTGGATCTCTACTTCCTGAAGCAAGTGTTGAAAACTTGCTTAACAGACTTAAATCCAGTGTTGACTTCACATAAAAACAAGTTCAGAGAAAGCAGCACTTTGAACTAATATGGTAAACGTGATTGGGTTGGGTTTCAGGAAACTCAGGTTGGACTTCCTGTTCTGCAACAACGTATTACTTATTGGCTTCAGGCAAATCTCTGGTTGTACCTTCTTTGCAGTAACTCCACGGGAGATACCCACTCTCCATTGTTTGCACTGTGATGAGTATGGTTGGGGGGGGGCAGATGGAAAGATTAGGATGCAGGTCCTGGATTCTAATTCATGAAATTCTCTAGAGGTTGGCACTGACAAAAGTGCTCCTTAAATATCTCACAAACCTTGAAAACCCTATTTGGGACATTGCATTGGATATGACTTGACAGCTCATTATTATATGCTTCCTGATATTCTGGGTCATGCAACTGCTTTCCTTGGCAACTAAAAACAGGATGAGTGAGTCCCCATCCCAATTATGTATGTTCCTAGGTAGCTAGACAGTAAAATGCTTCTGAAAAGTTTAAATAGTCATGGCATGTATAGTCTGTTCCTCCGAGCATTTTTAGCATTACAGGGTAGGCAAAACAGCAATGCATTATCTATAGCACAGAGAGGTATAATTAAATGGGGGTATACACATCAATTAACTTGGAATACATTCCACTGACTTTAGCAAGTATTCGTAACAGCAGGTCACCCGGTAGCAACAGAAACTTGTATTGTATCAGGACTACAGCATGTAAGCCACCAACCTCCTTGGCAAATAGCTTCTTTTTCCTCCATGCTGTTACTTTCACGCCAGGTGCAAAAATTGTTTGACATCCAATACAATGTTTGTATTTTTTTTAAAAGTGTATGCCCAGGAGCACCAGCTAAAAACCCTGGGTAAATTATTTTTATGCAGGATAAGTAATCATCTGCATCTAACATTTTTTTATTCTAATCTTAGCCCATCATTTATGCATTTCTTAGTGGATCAAAACTTTGTGAAATACTTCAACTATAAACACTTTTAAAAGCCATGGTGACACAGCAGCACTTTTAAAAAGATCACAATGTGACAACTATGACCTGGCTAGAATTTATTCAATTGTGTATATCCTTTATTAGAAATAGGATAGAGAAGGCACCAGTATGTTTTAAGTGTGCTAAGTTACTTCCAACTGTGTAGGATCTTTTTTTAAATACCACATTTATTGTTAAGAGGGCCATATCTATCATTTATTTATTACCAGGAACAGGAAGGCTGCAATAGAGACTAGAGATGGAGTACTCGTATACAATTATCCACCCACAGGTGGCAATAACAAGGGTCCAGCCCCCCCCACAGGTGGCAATAACAGCCCCATGACTGTCCACTCACCATTCCACTGCTGACAGCGGCTCGATGCAGCCTTCCTATCACACCGTTGTCCGCAATGGATTAGCCACTCTGCAACCTGACAGAGAGGCTTGTCATCCTGCCTCCTGCCAGGAGTGGCTAATCCATTGCAGACAATGGGACAATAGGAAGGCTCTGTCGAGCGAACATCAGCGGTGGAATGGTGAGTGGACAGTCCGGCCCCATGGGGCTGGACCCTCTTTATTTTCACCTGTGGGGGGATATTCATATTTCTATACAAATACTTCCAACTCTAGTAGAGACCTCAAAGCAAGCAGCACCAAAATCCTTATGATAAACCATTTGTCAAGTACACAGGAGAAAGCCCTTATACAGTACACTTGAATGTCTAAATTCATGGAGGGTATCTGCCTGAAGGGAAACAAACTCTGCTTTTAAGTGATGCATAGTGTATGAGAAAGGGACATGTCTGAGCAATACTACCGTGACAGGATCTTGCCAATACATGACTTCAGCCTGAGCTCTCTAGTGTACAGAATACCTCCCATCATCAACAGCAAATAACACAACTCGGTGGTGATGGGGGAAAGAATATGACTATGTTTTATTTTTAAATGATATAGACTATATTGAGTAAGAACAATTTTGTTAACAGGGCAGCAGTTTTTTTCTGCAAAGAGAAGAGACACTGGGCAGAGCAGAGAAGCTAGACAAGCAGTGCATGGCATTTCAGAGTAGCCCTATTTATAATTATAGCTATATTTAAAAAAATCCACCTCCTTTGAGATAAGGGAACTAAACTAAGGTGCAGATTGATATATTCTCCTGCATGTCCAGAAGCCTTGCCTCTGCAGAACCCAGGCCCCATTACAATGAAAGAGAAATCTGTTCCTGAAATGAGAATCCATTATTAGGGTGGAACTTCAAATGCAGGCATCAGGAATCCCAGCCCCATCCTGAAGTTGTAAAATTCATGCATACTCCTTCTACTCAAAAATTAAAGAGCTCCACGGTTCCTCGGGTTCCACTTGAAAATGTTACTGACCTTAGGGACTGTTCTTATCAGGTGACAATTTCACAGACAGACACCATCACTACATTTATACATTCAGGAAATTATGTATAGAATACTGCAAAAACACAGTAAGACTTAAATCTGCCCACAGATGCTCAGGAAGTCCCTTTGGCTCCCAAGCTTCAGAATATTGTCCTCTTCTTGCTCTGGATTATACAAGATTATTAATTATTGTTTTTCTTCCTTCTGATCCCCAGAACTTCCTGAACTTCCTGAACTGTCTCGTTCTGACGCCATCTGTCAGGAAAGAGGGGAGGAAATACACCGTTACTTCAGCAAATCACAGCCCCCCCAAAATCTCTTTTAGTTAGCTGGTCATTTGGATATCAAGATTTTACTTTTCAATCTTATCAATCCCTTACCCTCCTGATGGCTGTCTTCTGAAAATGTCTTCATTTATTTCAATTGCGATCATTTGAAACAACTACTGAACACCAGTATCCTGTTGGACTGTCCATATGTAGGACAGAAGTCAAAGAAGGATCCACAACTGTTTGGTCAGGTGCCAGTCATGTGGCAAATAATACAAACCCGGCTCATGACCAGCACCTTGCCAAACGGCTGCAACTACTTCCATACTGACAATCCAACAGGATTATTGGCCAAAGAAAGATCTTACTGCTGTAATCATAAAAAGAGTACGACATTCTTTGAAAAGAAACTCGGGCCTTCCAAGATGATATACTAGGCAGGAACACACTTCTTAAAAAGAAACTCTAGGCTACCGATTTGAAACTTACGTAGTTCTCGTTAAGAGCAAAGAAAAACTCCTGCTCTTTTAAAAGCCACCAGCCATGCTGGGACATCTTTTTCAGAATCAATTAATCTATAAATCTACTGGTTAATTTTTTTAATATATGAATATAATCTGAAAGTTAACTTTTTAAGTAACTCAAATTTTCTACGTAGATTTAATTTTTTTTAATAATGGACACTGGAACAGCCTAATTTAAGTGAACAAAAACCTATTTGTGCAAGAATATTTCGGAAGCCAGCTAGAAGCAATTCCCCAAGGTCTCTAGTGATGATACAGAAATTGGCTGGAATTGAGCAGATGAAAACGAGTCTGAAAACAATCCAATTTCTTCATCCTGTCTTATTTCTGGCTGGCAAGCAGAGCCACAAAAAAACAAGCACAGACACAACCTACCCCCAATCCCAAAAAAAGCCGAGGGCATGTGGGTCAGAGAAAGCGGGAGTATATGGATAAAAGGGACAGTCAGAGACTGGATTCTGATCAGCTTTCATAAATCAAATAAATTAATAAGCTAAAAAACCCCGCAGCCTCTATCACTTTGATGCAGGGGCAAAATGGGTGCTTTTCAATATTAATGGGAAGGAACTCTTCCAGAGAGAAGCATTAATCCTACCTATCCATAGGAGCAGTTGCCTAATTCTGAATTGTTTTAAAAGCAGCACTTGACCTAGAACAAGTTTGTATAATTTAATGCACAAGAGCATCTAGCTACGGCTCTCTGTAATCCTCTGTGCGCCAGAGGCAATAGCCTGTAGAAGCCTAACTTTACCACTGGGTGGCATGAAGCAGAATCACACTGTATGTACTGTAGAATAGAGCTCTCTTTTGCTCATCTTTGCAACGGCACCTACATTCTTCAACGCCCTGCATTTAAAATCTACGATAGCTTATGCAAGAGAAGGCAAATGAGGTTGAAGTTTAAACACACTAACGATTTCTCCAGCTGTGTGAAAATCAGTAAAAGCAAACGAACATTCAGAAAAGCATTTTGAACGAGGACACATCCTCCTGGAACTTCAAGGCCCCTTCCTTCGTCCCTGCCCATCCAGGCCTCCCCTACACCGACACCTTACCTTTTTGTAGGCCATTTCAAAGAGCTTCAGAGATGCCTGCTGCAGTGTGGTTGCTGCTTGTCTAATGTTCTCACCCGTTTCGCTATCTTTACGAGCCAGCAGCTCTCGCATTTTTGCAATTTCTTCTCTCAGTTTATTGCACTAGAGAGTAAAGAAGAAAAAACGCATCTATCACCATTCTGGTTTTCTGAAGAGCATCTCAACCTCAATAAAGCCATGCAACCTAAATCCTGCTGGCTGACACGTGTATTAGCCGGCTGCAGTGCTGGCTTTATTTAGGTCTTACCAGCATCTCCTGGTAGGATGGGGATACCTATCAAATCCAGCAAGCACAGGACATAGGCCTCTTTTACACTAAGGTAATCTAACTGTCTGTTTTAACACTTCAAATAGGCTGGGCTTACTGGATTAAATGCCCCCCTCCAACAGTCTCTGCACAGAGGAAACTAACATCTAGGGAGAAGGCTAGGTTAAGCATGCAAGTGAAATGGTATGGAGAGCCCTCGATGAAATGAGCCCCACCCAAGCCCAAAGTAACACAGCACAGCCGATCTTAGTGCTAGATGAGAAATGGTCATACCTGCTGAACACAAGCGGGAAAATACTTTGCCTTTGTAGGCTAAAATAAGTGACTGGAAATCATGTGATCTCATTTAAAAATTTTTTTTAAAGGGAACATGAAGTTTGGGGAGCAGTGATACAAAATTATAATTTGGGAGCTGAAACAGAATGTTGTAGAAAGCAGCCATGTTTCAGACCAACAGTGGCTTAAAATTTCCAAATGGAAATTTGCAGATTTTAATACAAACATTTTCCAGATTTTTCTGGACTACAAATACCATAATCCTCCCTTCTGGGAATCTTACATGCATTGTAGTCTATTTTCAAGCATCCCAATGTGATACACCTGGAAGAAAGGCCCATATTAGATGGCTTTGAGGCTCAGTTAAGCCAAAGCGCCACTAAAGCTTCCTTGTTGCAAAGAACTCTCCCAGCTAAGAACTGGGCGGGACTGGGAAGACAAGAGTGAAGTTCAGGCTAATTGCATCTCAAAGTCTTCTAATTTAGGCCTTTCTCCCAGGACCATCATCTTGAAGTGTTCGAAAGGTGCCTACAAAGCAAGTAGAACTCCAGGAAGAGAGAACTACCGTATTTTTCTGTGTATACGACCCCCCCAATGTATAAAACAACCCCCTAATTTTGACCATTGATGGAGGTGGAGGAGAAGTTAATGGGCAACTATTCCTCCATCTCCGTCTCTCCTGCTGCCGCCGCCTGCCTGATCACCTCTTTCAGCGCGACTGCCGGGGCTCATCTGCAGCTTACGCCTTGGCCCCTGCGATTGCTGGAGGTGATCCGGCGGCGGCGGCGGCACGAAGAGGTGCCCGAGCGCATAAGAGTGCCTCTGCCTCCTGCTGAGCCCCGTCAGTCCCACTGGAGGAGGTGATCGGGCGGGCGGGGAAGGCAGCAGCAGGAGGCGCCCAAGCATGTGTGACTGTTCCTTTGCCTCCGCTTCCTGCTGCCTTGGCCACCGGAAGGAAACAAGCCATGAGCTCTGGAAGAGGCAAATGGACAGCGGCGGCTGCAGCAAGAGGCGCCCAAGCACACACATGCAACTGCCTCCTCCCATGTATAAAAGAACCCTCAATTTTTCCTATAATTATTTTAGAAAAAAGTGTCATTTTGTCCACTGAAAAATACAGTATATTTGTAGACCAGAAAATCTGAAAGTCCCCTTCCTCGATTTTCATACTAAGTCTATGAAGTAATCAGAATGCAGTGAAGACATTTACATTATGAGAAATGGTCAAACTCCACACTGACATTTTCCAGAGTGTCTGCCAAGATGTGAAAGCTGCATCAACAATTGTGGATTGTGCGTGTGTACCACTCCTCCCCTCCAGAGACAAGATACAAAGCGCTTTCCAGGTAGGGGAATGGAGGGGCTGTCAATGTTTATTTCACTGTACAAGGTTTATCATTTCAAGTCAGAAGTTGTAAAATTAAGAGAAATCAGGAAATACTGACAGAACAGCATCAGCCGCTCTGAAACTCCCACTGCCCATTTCCATCTCATCCATGCCTTTTCCAGCACCTGTTCTGCACATGGAGCATACTGGGCCCACGCTTTTGCTTAGGGGAGTGTCACATAAAAATGGTTATAAAGAGGAATTGTTTAAAATCTCATTATGATAGGCTATTTGATCTCTTTATTGATAAATAAGTTCAAATAAGAATCTACTAGGAAGGACGATCTAGTTGAGAAGAAATTAACTTTAGGTATTTTCTTAAGACGCCAAAGAAAGTAGTGAGAAAATTTAATACACATCCGGAATGTGCACCAAACCTATATGCATTGATTTTAGATGAAGAAAAAAGCCATTCCTTTATCGCAAAGTAGCAAAGGATACCTCATCAGCTGGCAGCTGATCTTTAAACTCTTCCATCTTGGATTCTGTGTCATGGACAATTCCTTCTGCCATGTTTACAGCTTCGACACGCTCCTGAATTAGGGGAGAAAAATTATATGGGAATATGTGAGATCCATTTGGTTTTCATAGAACCTCCAGGCAAATAGGGATCACAAAACTCCACACCTAGAGAAAGAAATTCCACACAGCCAGCTTCTGCCAAATGTCACTCACACAGCAGTTTGGATACAAAGAAAACACTCCAATACCATGAACTCATACATCTAAACTCTACGCTACCACTAATCAGGCAGCCAACATTGTGCTCAAAGGTCCAGTGCAGGGACTGTTGAAACAGAAACGTATACTTGGCTCAACAGAGTGGCATGCCCCCAAGAAAAAGTAAAGTTTATTTAGAAGCAGTACATCTAAACTTTATTGCACAGAAGTGGATACAATGTCCCCCCTCAAGGGCCCAAATACAATACTCCACCCCTCGCCCACAATCACTGTGAGAATCTTTTTTTTTCCCAGAGGGACAGAAGTCCCCTTGTTCCATCCATCGGTAATGGATGGCAAAGAGGCCTATCCCCAATCCAAAGGTTTTTTTTAAATATTATTATTATTTTAGCCACTAGAATGCGTAAGAGATCTTTCCCGGGGAGGGGGGGGAGAGAAGGATGGTCTGGGTCACAAGTGCAGGCACAGCCTTCCACAGGTCCAGGGATGCCCCCCCCCGACTTCTGAAGATAATCCAATGAAGATACACCTCAGAACCTAAAGCGGGGGGGAAGTGACTTCAAATTAATGTAAGTTACATATTTCTATTGCAGTCTGGGTTACACTGCCACAAAGTAACAGAACAGGATTTTGCCCATTATATGCATTAATTTTAAAAAAATTCTATATAACAGTTCTTGGTAGAGACTTAACGAAGGTCCACTCACTCCCGGAGAGCTGTTTGGCCAGGGCCTTAGTAGCCTTGTAGAGAGACACGTCCTCATTCCTGTGGCCAGGAGAGGCTAGCCAAAGCGGGGCTCTGGGAGTGATTGGAAGGAAGAACGAGGCTGCCACCGGACACGTGAGTGGACAGTCCGGCCCCTCATTAAATTCAGACGTGTGGAGGTATTTGTATACGAATACCCCCATGTCTAGTTCTTGGACTTGGGCCTCAGTTTTACAAGATTTGTTAAGTCTTCTGTACAGATTAGCCTGGTTGATCTTTTCTCTCTTCTATTATTTAGTTCGGTAGAAGTAGTTATTATGTGCTGTTAAGTTGCCGTGGACTTACTGGCTACCCTATGAACGAGAGATCTCCAAATTCTCCTGTCATTAACAGTCCTGCTCAGCTCTTGCAAACTCAAGGGTGTGATTTACTTCATGGAGTCAATCAAGCTCATATTTGCTTGTGCCTCAAACCTTTCCTGGCTAACATTCTGAGATTCAGCCTTCTTTTAATTTTTTAGCTGTGATCTCCATTCAATGACTGAATCAATGTATACAAAACGTTCAATAATTTCATTTTTTTTTCATTGTCAGTGCTAAAGTTATAATGATTCATCTCTAGTCATGACTTTTGTCTGAATGGTCAATTGCAGCCCTCCTTTTGCACTTTCATCAGGAATCACTTCAAGTCATTGCTGCTTTCTGCCTGGAAGACAGTGTCATCTGCGTATCTTAGATCACTGGGTGCTTTCTGCCAATTTTCACTACACGTTCATCTGCATCTAATCATGGATGTTCTGCATACATATTAGACAGGGAGATAAAATACACCCTTGCCTGAAATCTTTGCTTATGAGAAACCATTTGATTTCTCCACAGCCTGTCCTAACAGTAAATTCTTGTTCAGTTTGCAGATTAGACATTATGACAAGTAAATGCCGCAGCACACCCATTTCTCTTAGAACAATCCACAGATTCATGTGGTCAAAGGCTTTGCTGCAATCTATGAAGCACAAATGGATACTCTGAAATTATTAGCAACGCTCCAATAGTCAACATATAATTTGTGAAAAAACTCAAGAGCCTCTTCCTTTTTGGAATCCAGCCTGAATATCAAGAACCTCTCACTCCATATAGGGTAAAAGTCTTTGATGCAATACATTCAGCATCACTTCCCCTGCATAGGGAATTAATGCAATGGTCCTACAGATATTGCACTCCTTGGCATTTCTTTCCTTAGGGATTGGAATGTATATTGAAAGTTTCCACTTTGAGGGCCATTGTTTTGTTTTTCATATCTTTGGTGTGTTATTTCGTTAGAATTCTGACAGATTAAATCTCTGTAGCTTGAAACAGTTCTACCACTATCCCATCTACTTACTTCTAATTTATTTCTTCCAAGTACTTTGAAAGCATATTTCACTTCACTTTCTAAAATGCAAGGTAAGGTAAAAAAGGTAAGGTAAGGTTAAAAAAAAATCAATTGAGTTTATCATCCTTGTAACTACAGTGGGCCCTCGACTTACGAACGGCCCTAGTTACGAACATTTCGGGTTACGAACCTGATCTCATCGCAAGTAGTACACCCTACTTGCGAACGCAGACTGGGTTACGAACCCAAAAGGCTTCCTCTGACATCGGAGGAAGCCTTCTGAAACCTCAAAAGCCAAAAATGCAGGGAGAAAGGCTCTTCCCGCTCTTTCTCCCAGCCTTTTTTGCTTCAGAAGCAAGCCGGGTGGCCGGGGAGAAATTGGCTCCCTCTTTTCACCTGATGCCGAGTCCCCTTCGCACCGGGCTGAGCTCAGCCAGCACAAAGGGGACTCAGCATCGGGTGAAAGGAGGGAGCTGATTTCTCCCACGCAGTCTGGCTTGCTTCTGAAGCAAA